GGGGAAAGACGGTGAAGTTTCAGAGAGACGGTGGACAAGAGACGAGCACTGTCAGAAAAGAGATGAGCGCTGTCAGAAAAAACGCGAGCACTGTCAACAAAAATGGAACCACTGCTGAAAAAAAGGCCCGCTGTCAGAAAAAAGAGGACCGATGTCAGAAAAAAGTGAGACCCTGGTATTATTACCCAAACTGGGCAAGGGGTCTGCCAACTCTTTTCGGGTGTTGTTTGGCATTCTCCACTCAGCCCAACAGCCATGTGCAAGCACAGCCTGTGCGGGTTCTGGGGTTTGGGTCAGGTTCATGCTTGTTGATGATCGGTGTACTTGCATCAGTATCATCAGCGGCTTCAGTGTGGGGCTGTGCCGATCAAGTGACGGCCCATACCGAGGCCACTTTTTGTCGGCAGTGGGCGCCGCAGTCATCACGTCGCAGGCCTCCACGCAACTTTTTAGCGCACTAAGTACATCATTCAACTGTGTTCCGAATGCATCAGGCGCTTGGAATCTGAGGCGTAGGGCATGAGACGAATGGAATCTGTGGCAGGTGCTGGTCTTGCCCGGTGTTCTCCGAATCTCGAAGGGCCGCGAGTCCTTGGTGGTGCAAGGCGCGGGAAGTCCAGAGCCCGCTATGCACAGATGCACTGACCGTGCCAAAGGAGCCATGATGGTTCATGCCTTCAAGTTCATCGGCTATGCTTGGGCTCCGAGTGGAAAGTGGGTCTATGTGGTTCTCGCAGCACAGCTGCAAGCAATCTTGGCGACTGCGGCTCTCGAGTGCTGGGCCGAGTTCATGTGAGGCGCTGTCCACTCCAACGTTCTGCGCCGCACCGGTTCTCTCGAGCCGCCTGGCAGAGACATGGGTTTAGGGCCCGGATTTGTGATCTCTTTTGATCCCTCAGGCTTGTGCACCCGGCATGTGCCTGCAACGCAGCAAGGGCTGTGGCCCTCCACTCAGAGATACGAGCACGGCCTGAAAACAAGAGCGGACCGGCGGACCAGGTCGGGGAGCATGTCGGCACTGAACACCGCCGCCAATGTCGTAGGCGCGCCGTGAGAAAGGGATGGGCTCGCAGTTCCCCGACTGAGGAAGCCAAGCCTGGTTTTTCCCCACTGAGATATGCGCATGCCGATGCAGTGCAGCTTCAATAGGGGGCTATAGATGCGCTTCAGATTTTGCCCACGGCCCAAACACAATTCAGGATGCCCACGTTCGCTCTGCATGGGACACGTTGCCTCTCAAACTGGCATAATGTTGGGGTTGCGGTATCATACAATCCCCTGAGATTGTTTTGTCCAAGGGTCGCTTGGGGTGGTCCGTCGGTTTGGGTGGCAATTGTAATTTTTCTGGTGGGTCTGGGATCCGTAGTACTCGTAATACTAGTAATAGCAGTAATAAAACAATAGTAATCTTTAAAAAGTAGATAGCTTTCTGGACCCATTCCTTAATATTTGTTTGGTTTTTAGAGCCCCGAATCACCCGTTCTCGATTGTCACACGAGCCCCAACATCAATTGCTTGGCGGGCCTGCAGTTTAAACTCCTCTTCGGGCAGGATATTCTGGCCCGGGGAATATTCCAATTGCCACCCTATTTATTAGAGGTTCTGAGCTTGATCTGTTTCAACGATCGCACACCCTCTGCCAGAGGTGCGTTGATTGGATCCAGGCTTCTTGCCCTCTCACTGCGGGGGCTGCTTGGTGAAGCAGTCAGCTTGAAGTGGTGACTCGACCTGAAATTTCGAGAAACCTGGCCTATGCTAATTGATTCTGCAGGTTCCTCCCTCTTGGATCTCCGCTCTATGCCGGCGCATTGTGGGATACTCAGGGCCAGGTGAAGCATGTTGCCCTTCGTTTGCTGTGTTGTGTAGGCAAAATCTTGATGATTGGGGAATGTAGCAGCATGAGGTGCCACATGTTAGCGGCTCTTTGCGTGGGTTGTGCGAGCCTGTCGGTGGACAAGAAGGCTGACTGCTGAAGTGTCCAGGGAGTCCGTCTAGGCCTAGGCCTCAATGCCTCAATGCAACTCTGCTCGATCCAACCGCAGACGTCGGAATCGTACGACGAAGAGAGGGCCCCTGCCGTCGGCTCAGCTATGGATGTAGAAGTGTCCACCACGACCCTGAACTGCTGCAAACAAGGAGTCGCTGCACGGTGCTTGAGAGCAGACCTGGATGCCAAGGGTTTTGGGGTTTAACTGGGGTTTTTGAGCTTTGTTTGGGCCCCCCAAGAGCCCCTGATCACGTAATCAGCTACAAGCCGAGAGGCTCCTCTAGTTCTTCGATGCTGAACAGACGAGGGGGATGTTCCGATCTTGAGCCAAGCTCGAGACATCTCTTCACAAACTCGGGTCCGTTGATTATTGGCTGTGGCCTGGCGAGAAGTGGAAGTCGAAAGCGGCTTCCCTCCTTCCTGCATCGGGGCGTCGTGGCCTTACGTTGTACAGGCAGGCAGATCTGCAACTTGCATTTTCATTGAGGGGCTTCTTTCCACCAAGCGCCGGAAACGTAGCCGCGATAGTGAGTCTCGCGAGGGATGTAAAGACTTGCATCGCCGGTGGAAAAATGTACTCAAGTTCACAAACCCAAATCTTCGGCCTTTTGAAGGCCTCCCAAGTTTCTCGCTGGTCAATTTTCGAAAGAGTGCAGGCGACAAGTTGGCCTGCCAGCCAATTCGCCTTGTGGCAATGCTTCCCAAGATTACAGAGCCTCTGTTTCTGGCATTTGAAGTAGCAGGCCGAAAACCTGAAGCAGGGCAGCCCAAAGGCTTCTTGCCCAACGGCATGCCATTCAGGACTGCCCGTCTTGGACAGTGCAGTCACCGGACGAAATTTGGTGAGAATGAAGGGTCCATGGTTTTGTACACTGTTGGTTTCTGCATCAAGGTTCACACTCTCGTGCCCGGTGTGCTGCACAGTCGAGTGAAAGCGCTGCACAGTCGACTGTCGCAGTGAAATGTTGTCAAAGTTGTGCAGCATCTGACAGCGAAAATCGTGTCGGATGCAGGTGCAGCAAAATCGCTGCAAGACAGATGCTGCAAGTGAAGGTGTTCCTGAAGAAAGTGATTTCTTGGGTCGCGTAAACGTCACTGAAGCATCAGGATCCCTCTGAAGCTGTGCGACGCTTGCCTCAAGATGTCTGGCTTTTGCTCCAGAACCCTGTACACCCATGTCTGTGTATGTATTTCTATGTCTGCATGTCTGCATGCTTCCACACGTAGACAGAGAGACAGATGGCATACAGTCATTATGGTGAGTGACGACCAGACAGCTTGAGCCTTGAGCTGATTGGGGCCGGCGTCGGAGGCCAGTGGACCAGCCTTGCTCAGTGCCAGATCATGTTCAAGGGCGGATGCAGCCAGGATGTGATTCCTCAAGATGGCCGCAGCTCAAGCCGAGCCATCAGTGCTGTCTGGAGGCGCCTGCAACAGCTTGCCTGCTGTAGCTGGTCTCCGTAGAGAGTTCTACTAAGGCCACCGTTCGGGCTTTTCCTTTAGGTGTTTTCTTTGCCGACACTTGGGTTTGTCCTTGGCCAGCCCTTTCTGAACACGTAGTGTACTATAACAATAATACTACAACATCATGCTAGAATATCCAATAATCTTTGATAATACGAATAAAGTACTTTTACAAGATGCTATGCTGTGTGCTCTGACTCCGCAGGGCCCTGGCGTGATCGCCGGGCAGCCGTAGCATCCCTTGCGCAGCAGAGCGAGGCAAGGCCAAAAGGGCAATGGCATACTATAGTTTGTGGTTGTAGTATATTTCAGTACTTTATTCTTTCTCGTATGTCCTGGTGTATCTTGTGTTTTTTTTTGATGGCTGGTGTTGAGCACGGTCTTACTGGGATTCCTACCGTCGAAGACAGGTCAGTACGGATTCAAACAACTTGGTCAGTATGTTCTCGTTTGTTATGTATGGTCTATTATAGTGCAGAACTTTTGGTATTGTATGTTCTCGTTTGTTATGTATGGTCTATTACAGTGAGAAATAACAATTTCTTGTAGTTTTTCTAGTATTGGGTTATACCGTATTATGGTATACCCTGGTGTTGTTCGTTTGTAGCTGATGGTATACTGTAGTATATCGTGATTCTCTGTTATGGTGTTTTTAGTGCGAAAACATACTATGGTACATTATTGTACTATGTTATAGTATGTTATGGTATACTGTAGTATACTTGAGTACTCTAATTGTAGTATATTATGGTGTTATATGACAGTTTTATGCTTGTAGATTCCGTGCATAAACTTAACATCCTTTGTGATGGCCGGCGGCACGAGCTTCGAGCACCGCCTTAAGCCTGTAGGGGTCACCCCAGGCTCACTGCTGCTGCACTCGCCGGTTTGGAGCTTGCTTGGGGAGAGCAACAGAGGTTCATTCAGTGGGATGGGCACGCCTGTCTTAAGATCCTTCGGGGTACCCCACATGGAACCTCACTTGCCACCTGGCCTCAGAGCAACGGAGGCTCAGCAGAGTCTCGCTGCTGATGTCTCGGTGTACATGGATGACAGAACGATGTGTACTCGCACTTGGTGGGCACTCAAAAGTGGGATAAGTAAGCTCTTGGGCTTCTTGGAGTGTCAGTACGGGCTTGTTGGGGCACCAAAGGGAACCCAAACTTGCGGTCGCAAGAAGCAAGCTAGGCAGGAACTCTGCCTTGACCGCCTTCAGGCGTGGATTCGCAATGACACGACGGCATTTTTCTATATATTTTCTGTACTTGGACCTCGAAGTCTAGGAAAGAAACTAGCACGGGGCGCCCTAGGATTGATGCGGCACTCGAGTGCGCTGCTTTGCTTGGTTCGGTGCCTCTTGCTTGGCACCACAAAACTCGCGCTTACCAGTGCTCTGTCATGAGTAAAGCCTCCTTTGCGGGGGTCCCGGACTTTCCTATTCAAACGAGTGCTGGCAAGTTTTTCAAAAGCATGGCTGCTGGATTTAAGACCAGCAGGATGGCTTGCCAAGAAATCAGGGAAAACTCTTGACGGAACTGTGCTTGACTTGTGGAGACGTCTTAGTAAGGACGTTGATAAGGGACACAGGCTTGAGTGAACGGGAGGTTCGCGTGCGGGGGTGGGCTGCTTGCACAGAACACTCAAAGTTTTCGGCTTCGTGGAAGCAGGCCCCGGGAGTGGACGGTCCCTCAGCGTTGGACCAAGCTCCCTGAGATTGGGAAGAGAGATAAACTGGGGGGCTGCATTGTGCTCAACGCGAAACTGCAGGCGTTCCGAGCTCAACACTGCAGACAAGACCTTGAGCGGTTCCTGCGAGGGAAGCGCCATGAGGCGCGAGAGCCCCCAGCTCAGAGGCGAGCACGCGGACTGGAAGGCCGTTGTCAAGAACCGCCAACCGAGAACGACAGCGAGCGGCTGGAGCATTATAGAAAGACGAACCAGAGATGCAAGCCTCACCGAGAGCACGCAATTACATCTTGCATGGGAGTCGATTCCATGGCGAGGAGACATCGAAGGAAGCATCTTTTAGCATCCGACGAAAGCCATGCACTGGCACATTTTGCTATGCTATGCGTTTAGGATGGTGGCCGGCATGTGCTTCGAGCACCACCATCAGTTTGTAAAACGGTAAGGCTGTTTCGACAATAGTGAGGGCAAGGTGTAGCAGGCAAGGGTAGCAATGCAGTGTGAGAGCAACTTTGTTCACACTAGCACCATTCGGGACCAAGCAAGTGTCATACAATACCAAGGGCTATGCACAGGCACAAATCTGATCACATGGGTGCCTAAGACCTAGGGGCATGGCACCAAAGTGAGCTATGAAGCTCGCGCCTGAAATGCCGCGGCCGGAGCCTAATGCTATGCGGCGATTTCTGGTGCTCCCGGAAGTTTGCAGATAATGCGTGTGACTCAGTCGACTACCAAATCCTCAGCCGTGACAGAATCCAGACCGCAGCGAGCGAGTATCCGGTGTTGACATGGTCACTCTGGTCCACCTCTGCATTCTAAGAACGTCCATTCTAAGAACGTCAAGCTCTATATTCCTGCCGCACCACGACGACTTAAAACGACATGCGCGGGAAAAACAAAGCTCGCCACGGCTTCCTGTAGCTTCGAAGAGTAACTTTACCCAAAACAGGTTAGCCTTATCGAATGTTATGGTATGTTTTTGTAGAGTCATTATAGGTTTCCAGGGGCTGTTTTGCATTGAGTCCCAGTGAGTCCATGATGTGTCATTGCACCTACCTTGGTCTGTTGAATTTGCGCCTGGGCAGGCGGACTTTGATTTCTGCTTTCAGACGGTGCAGGCCTGTCAACTTCCGTAATGGCGTCACATGGCATACCATCCCACAGCCAGGGTGCGAACTTCGAAATCGTTTGATCACCGTCGTTGCAGTAGTCGTTGCAAGTATCAGTATTTTGCCTTGTGACGCACGAAACCGCTTGCTTGCACTAGTGTTTTTACGTCGCAAGTGATTCCAACAGTGGACACTGACACGCCGTACTTTGTCGCGGTTCCTGAGCCAAAAGCCGTTTGAGCGCTACCACGTTGCAGGCCTTGGTGCCCCTTCTGGAACACCAACGCTGGCGCACACGCACCGTTCTCTGTTGGCTTCGCAGACTCAAGACACACGCTTTCACGTTTCACAGTTGTTGTCTGCGAGCCTTGGAAGCTTCGCAGTGCCCTCCGAGCCACATGAAGAGTCTTCATCCGGTCCGGTTCGAATGCTTGATCAGAACTGGGGAGGGGAGGCCTGGCATGTTTGTACACGCACATACATCGTTGCCCAGAGCACAGCAGGATTTCTTCATGGATGAATCCGCTGTACTGAACATTAGCGGTTTTTGATGGGGCTATAACCAAAAAGGCTTTGCAGTTCAGGTAGAGGCAGAGTGCCACGGCAAGTGAGTAGAAGTCCGTCTGTACAAAGTCCGTGCCATAGCCTTTCGCAGAGGCAAGAGGGGTTGCTTCCAGGCGTCACCCATCGGTGGGGCAGACGGTGCACGACAGTTGTGTCAGGAACAGAGAGGCTGTGAGCAAGGCTTTTGCGCCCGTCAGCATTCCTTTGGCGAGGTTATGGCCGAGGAAGCCGCAGCAAAAGCTGCTGTGGGCCTCGCAGGCATCAGCTGGACATGTTTGATAAACATGCATGACCCCACTAGATGCGTTGGTGTATACAAAAATAATTTGAAGCTGATGCAGGTTCCCGTGAGAACGTCTACTTGTTGACGTACTCCTTCAATCAGGACTTCTCCTGCTTCGTCTGTGGCACCACCGCGGGATTCCGGGTCTTTGCGCTGGAAGACAATGCCAAGTCGTCTGCGATCTCTGAGAAGCTCAGACGAGAACATTCGCCTGGATTTCGACACAGCTCGGTGATGCTGATCTCCATGCTCTTCAAGAGCGCCAACTTTGCCATGGTCAACCAAACCCTCGAGCCGCAGGGCGAGCCGGCTCCGGGCTGCATGAACAAGGCGGACTTGGGACTTGGCCTTGCGTGCCAGTGATAAGTAGGGCGAAAGGGCCGCGGCCGGCCGGTCGGATCGGGTCTGCCAGGTTCAGATCTGGGATGAGCGCAAGCAGAAGGTCGTAGCGGAGCTCCGTTGCCGTAACGAGGTGAAAGGCGTCTGTCTCCACAACTCTGCGCCTTGGCACGTCTCTGCACCACCGCAGGGTGCTTGGAACGTGTAGGGTTTCGGTGGATCTGCGACGCTTCGGCCTACGATGTCAGGTCATCGTCATGGTGTGTGAATACGTGATCTACGTTTACACCTCGGGTGAGCACTTGAAAGTCATTCTTCATCTGGACGGTGCACCCCAACCCAGTAAGCATTCCATGCGGGCATGCTTTCAACTGTAGGGTATCATGCAACGTTCGAGTGCATACCTATCAGCGGCGTCGCGCGGGCGGTGACAGAGCCTATGCCTATGTACAAACAGATTGAACGGCAAATGCCCAGGTAGCTAGCTGCTGGCCCGTGATTAGTCTGATGAGTCACTTGGTCGTGTAGTCAATCCCGCAAAGCTCTCGGAAGGACACCGGCTCCAACAAGCTGGGCCTTTGTGTGGTCGCCGTCTCCAGCGACCCCTGGCTTCTCTGCTGCCCGGCTCAGCAACTTGGATTGGGTAAGCCTGCAGAGGTCGCCTCGGCGTCAACGCGCCTGTGAGACCGGTCCCATGCTTGCGGATCTGAGGAACAAGGGTGCCGTCCGTATCCAAGTGGGCCAGGATGCTGGAGCCACTCACGTCTTCCAGGCCGCGGTTCGGCTACTCCACGATTCTGCTGACTGTTGATCTTTCTGAAGGCGCACCAGTCGGGATTGGCAGCTTTGGCTTTGAACGCGTCGGGCTCGCTGTTGGCTACAGCATCAGAATCGGGCACCGTCCCTCGGAAGGAGGAGAGTTGTGAAGAGACTATTGTGGCATTCGACATCTGGATCTGGCAGCCAAGGTCGCAAAGGTCTTCCGCACGTCCGACGGTCAAGCACTCTACAGGCTATCTAGAAGTGCAGGGTCTAAGTTGGTGTTGGCGGCGAAGGGAGCGTGCATGATGGAAGCGATGTTGCTTACTGCAATTCAGATGAACTCTTGTTCTGATCTCGCTTCGCTGCAGGTTGCGCAGGAGTACACGTTCTGCAGTGATTTCAAGTCTTGCATTCCGCTCGGATGACAACTTCCTTGCTATGGCGCAGCTTGCCTCAGTCCACTGGGACACTGCGTAACATCCGTCTCTTCCTGAAAATTCGGGACGTGCTTGCTGAGGTCGTCCTCTGCTACTGTGCATATCTTCAAGCTGGACAGCTCCACAGCAGAGGTAGACACCGACAGGGGGGAGAAGGACAAAGAGAACTCGTCTCCTGCCCTGGGCCCCCAAGATCTAAGACCACGGCCCAGTCTCTCCGGCACAATCTCTGCTCTGCAGACCTTGCAGTCGAAGGCCGCTGAGGCGGTGCGAGGTCTGACGTACCTCGCGGATTTGCGGAGCTTCGGGCAGTTCCGTTTGCCTGACATGGATGGTGGCCAGCCAGCAGTTGACACCCGCAGCAAGCAGTCCAAGATCGTAGGCCCTATCCTGGCATTCCACAAGACAGAGCCGCGGCTCTATGTGCTGCATTTCAACGGCTTCCTCTACGAGTGTAGCTTCCAGCCAGACTACGACCTGAGCCGGGGAGCACAAGAGTGTGGCTTTGTGGCGGCAACGACGTGGTTTGCTACCCGGCCAGACTTCAAGGTGTCCGCCCCCATCACGGAGCTGAAAACAGAGCCTGGGGGGGAGAATGAAGGTGACGAAGCTGAGGAGTGGCAGCTTCTCTAGAGAAGGTGTCCCTGTGCAGCTGGACAACCTCGACTCGACGACCTTCAAGAATGAATCCTTTCGAAACTGGCGTTTAGACTCTTTGAACCGTGCCTCCACTTAGAGATGTTGCTGCCTCTCTGACCCAAAGAGCAGGGAAGCGTGGGTGATTAAAATTGCGGTGGCACGCAGTCTGCAACTTTGTTGCTCAAGGAGTTGGCTTGTTTTTTGCACATAGTCTCCTGTCTCTTGTGCACCATCAGGTGCGTTGGCCAAGGTGGCGCTTCGACGCATCGGGGAGGACCTTGGTGGAATGACATGGGGGAAAGCACGAACACCCGTGGCCTTGAGACTATGAACAACCCGGCGGGACGAGGCAAGGGATTCTCAAGATCGGGGGTGCCCTCCGCAAGTGTGTATGCTACGGCTGCTACTTCGGAGCCAGACGCAAAACAATATCAGCATCGAGAGTTGCGAACGCAGTCGATGAAAAGGTCCCTGTTCAAGTGAGTGTGAGCGAAGGAGCACAGTTGGCAGAGGCAGGGCCACCAGCAGACTCAATCTATGACATCTATGGCATAGACCGAGGCAGCGAGCTTGCAGACATACCGGCCACGCATACCAACAGCTTGTTGAAACGTGATAGGCAGTCGGAACAGGGATGGGTGATCCAATTGCGATGTAACCCGGACTGTTGCATACCTTGCTCGGAGACAGCCGTCTGCAGTTATGTAAACAAGTGCCGGGCACGGTTCGCACCAAAGGCGCAGACACGCAGTCTTGCGAGGGGCTAGGTGCAAGCAACACGAAGAGGGATCATCCCATTTCTCCCGAAGCCCTGCTGGAAAACAGCGAAATGCTTGGCACACAGCGACACTGCCGGGTCAAGGGTGATGACGTGCTCCGAATGCCTCTGGGGTTCCACTTGTGGTGCTTCGATTTAAGGCACCATCGTCTTCGCCGTTGTCGTCATTCTCGTGGAACAGAGTTTGCGCAAGCGCAGAAACGATCGGGGATTCCAGCACATCAAAGGCACGCTGTCGTTGATGCGCGGCAGTAGGCACCTGCTCATTTGCAAGACACTTAACGAACGCTCACGAAGCGGGCGAGGTGGGGCAGTCACGATTGAAGCAAAAAGGACGTAAAGTGCAAAAGTGCGGCTTTCAACCAATATATCGGGTCAGAAGCTGATTAGTTGAAGGAGGCCTCTGCGAATGCTGTGGCAGCGGCACTTGAGGCATGCCTGTCCCCGTCTGCGGTTTCTGCCGGTCTGTGATTCGTGCATTGCTACTGCCAGCTCCTCGGTCCCTGCGCCCATGAGGTGGAGGCACGAAGCGAGTTTGTGACAGAGAGTGCCGCACCGCGCTGCGTGACTTCTGCACAGGCGGAGGTACCAGCGCAAGCTTCGGAGAGCGAGGTCGAAGCGGATGACGTAAGCGAGGATCTGAGCGACCGCCTGAAGCTGAGAAGGGCCGAGCTTCCGCATAGACCCATCATAGACTGCAGCGCCAGGCTTGTTGTTCCGAACAGAGTTGATAGTGTCGCAATTAATTGGGTATCAAACACGGCCAAAGATTGCAAAGGGTTTTGGGGCCGTTTGTTAGCGCCCGGCCTTGTTGCCCTAAGGGTCAGTGTGTTTATTTACCATCCGACAGGCCTCACCAAAGACCTGTGGTTCGATTGTTGGTCCGCTTGCGGATCATCTTGGCTCAAGAGGGGCCAGCCACGGGACTCGCCTGTTGCCGCCGGGGTTTGGCATGGAGGCAAGGCCTCCGAAGAGCTAGGCTTCCCCTTTCTGGGTGACCCACGCTTTCTTGAGGCGAGCCCCAACAAGAAGAAGAGGCTCCATGACCATCGCAAGCTCTTCAAGGAGGGCCAGAGCCTCCACCAGCAATGGAGCTTGCCACGCACACACACGGACGTTTTTAGACCTAAGCTGTGATTCTCATATTTTGTTTGTTTGGCCCAGCAAGGAAGGCACTGACTCCGCCAGTGGCAGATCCTACTCGTGCATTCTACGAGTCGCTGCTGGAGGAGAAGCCCGACAGTGCCATAGCAATTCGCTTTTGCCGGTCTCTCGGAAGGTTTTTGCAATGCATGTCCGAGTAGTTGGACAAGATCTTCAGGTGTGGAGCACGGCGTGAAGCCACTCGAAGAGCACAAGCGCCCCGGCTGCTGTTCTGCACCGTCCTCCACCCGGGAGTGGGCCCATTCTTGCAAGCAGGAAGCTACTCAAGAAGTACAGCGTGCTGAAAGAGAAGGGCGCCTTCAATGTCGCCACCAAACTCAAACGCGTCCTTGAGAAGAAGCATCTGAAGCTGGGCGTCAAGAAGGACAAGAAAGCCAAGAAAGAGAAGAAGGACGGTATTTTGCTACGTTGCTAGTCGTTGCGGCTTGGGGTTGCAGCGACCTCGCGTGTGCGAGAGATAGTATGTGCGCAGGAGAAGAACGCAGCCGAAAATCCTGAAAAGGCTTAGCGTGCAGAGTCGTAGAGTCACGTAGGATGAAGCATCTGAAATGGGATGGCTCAGACATCCGCTGAACAAGAAAGATTGGCTTCGTGAGCAAGGTTAGGTTTTTTGCTTCGTGGTGTGGTGGTCTTGAGTACTGCCCCACCAACCGCAGCCGTGATTGGGAAGATGGGGGCCAAGCCCAGGTGTCGTGGCCGACGTTGCCATTCCAGCTCAAATCTCCAGGCACGCGGTTAATCGCGAGTTCGAAGTCCTGGTCTGTGATTCTTCAGAATTACGGAAGCTCAGGGACTTGGAGGGTGCTGCAAGTTCAAGGCAGAGCTTGGGCTTGTGACATTCAGGCCAAAGCTGATGCAGCCGGGCGATGCATTCCGCACATGGAGGAGAGCTGCCAGGGTTCGTTTCGCCTGATTGCTGCGATATCAGCTTCTCGGAAGGTCACCATCCTCAGAAGAGGAGTTATCGTTCAGCCGCCGCAGCCCCGACGACGACTCTTCATGCAAGGCAGAGACTTGTGTTGAATCAGTAGACATCCGGAGAGGCAGCCGAAAGACGAGTCAAGCGTTTATCGCTCCTGTCAAGCCAAGCAGAGCCACTGCCGCATCAGGCACACTCGATTAGCGCCTTGGAGGAATCGGACTCGGACTCCTCTCAGCTTGAAGAGCCGCACTCGTGCATGGCCAAGCATGCCAGGAATAAAACTTGTAAGGGGTGCCCAGATATTCAGTGGGCTTGTCTAGGGGCGTCCAGGGTGTTTCTTCGCTGCTTGCCAGAGAACAGCTGGTACCCGCACTGCACGAATAGCTTCGCTTCACAAGCCTGCTTCATCCGTTAGGCTCAGCACAGCATCTTGCAGCTTCCATCTGAGGCCCACTTGCGAGCACCCGCCGCCCACCACTCGGAGTGAGGACGTGCGGCTTCAACTCTTTCGTGATTGCGTCGCCGTCTGCGAATAATCCATGCCACATCCCTGAGGCTTGATGACCTGCCGATCTCCGCCCTGGGAGCTGTGCATGTCATTGCCTCTCGTGGAGAGCTGTCCGCAGCTCTGTCGCCAGGCTGCCCCTGCTCCCAGCAGGGTCTGCACAGATACATTGCTAGTAGCCAAACAACAGATCCCAAAGTAAGACCTAGCACTCTCTTGAACAAGCGAAATCGTGCACCCATCGAGTCATCATTATCGGAAAATGCACGAGCTGTCTTAGGCCCGGCTCGTCAGTGCCGGTGGCCTTGCGAATTCGGGCAGTGCGCACAGCAGCTGCCCCAGACAACGCAACGTAGGTTTCTCAGCTTTGATTGCTTTTCATCAAAGCACGACGAGGCCCGACGGTTGCTCACGAACTCAGCAGGCATCGACCAAGGGAGTGTCAGCATTACGGGGGGCACCCCGAGTGCAGTCTCTGCCAAATATGCGAGCACGTGGGCGGCAATCGTTTGAAAAGGCTTTGGCTTTGCCTGTCAGTCAGGTGGACAACCTCGGGCAGCTGCGGTGAGCGTATTGGGGGACCACCGTGAGCTGTGAAATAACTAATTTGGGAGAGGCTCGACTGCTGACCAGGGGCGTTGAGGCAGCTACAGGTAACGACGAGACGAGTTCTCTTTCTTGCACTGGGACTCTTCCGAGGTCCTGCGACGGCCTCTTGCCGTTGGCTCCCTTGTGCAGGACTTCGGCGGCAGTGGGGACTTGGCCGAATTCCGTCGGCCGGGCAGCCAGAGCCGGTGTAGAACGTCCTCCACTTCTCTGCCTGCGCTGCGAGAGGCTGGGCGTGGCCAGGGACCAGGTCCTCGAGGTGTCCAGAGACCATGTTACGGCGTTGCGGCGGTTATGGTTATTCTCTGTTACTGAAGGAACCATGGGAAGTCTTGCCCTGTCACTCGCCTTGGCTCGAACACAGGTCATGAGGGGTATGACATCTAAGCAAGCACACCAACTAAGGGGAACTGCATGTTCAGATCTCGAGGTGACATAGTACTGCATTGCCGGACACACCACATCTCCTTAACTTGCGCTTTTAGCCCACGGATTCGTCGCTTAACTCCTACTTCAATTTAAAGTCTAGTTTTCAACTCACGCCACCTAGCAGCCATGAAAGGCTTTGCCAAGGGAGGGAAGAAAGGCTAGTCGAGAGCGGAAGAGAGGCTTTGCTCTTGAATTCAGGGGGAGTTTCCAGAAGTGTGATCGCTGGAGGCAAAGATGCCAAGGGCTTCCCCGGTGGTGGCTGTGGCGGCTTCCCCGCGAAGGGCTATGGGAAGCTGCTTGCCGGCAGAGTCAAGGAACAGGAGGATTCTGGGTGGATGCATCCTTCCAAGCCTCAGGTCAGGAGGCAAGGGCGAGACGGACACGTGGCAGATGGGGCAGATGTCCATGAAGGCCGCGTGCCAGTCCGTACATGACGCAATGATGCTTGAGAGCTCGTCAGGGCAAAGCCAAGAGTCCCTTTGGTGACGGAAAGGCGGGCAAGGCCCGCTCTGCCAAGCCTGAGATGCTCAGCCTGAGATGCTCAGCTGAGTGCTTCGGAGCCGTGCCTTGGGCAGGGCTTCGGCCTCAAGGGCCAGATGGGCAAGGAGGCTTTCGGGAAGGACGGCGGCAAAGCCAAGGGCCAATCTGCGGAGCTCGCCCGGCACTCGATGCTCCAACCGCTCCCTTCAGATCTCTATCCTCTGCTGTCAGGCCGTGTCAGGCTGCTGGCATGAGACCGTTGGATCGATCATCCGCGGCTCGTAGGCATGTGGCAGTCTTGTGGTGCTTGCGTCTGAAAACTGTCGCCTGAGGCGGGGAGTACTTCCGGTCCGGATCGAATCACGGCAGTCACGCGGCGGCAAGATCAGGGCTACTTACCAGCCCCAAAGGACCATCATTAAATCACTTTTCAGACGCACTTCGAATTAGTCATGGTCCATGGCATTGGTCATGGAGCCGAGAATAACCAAGGACCTGTGTATAAAAAGCTGGGGGCCGGGCAGGACTGCGCTAGCCTCAGCTAGATTGTTCAATTCTCATTGCGGCAAACCGCCAGGAGGTCCAGATTTATTTCTGGGACAGCCGAGATGGCCCGAATATGTGCGGGTGGCCTTGTACTCAGGAGCACGGTTCACCCACCCCACGTCCATCGTCTTGTTGATGCCTCCCAGGTGGTTCGGTGCCTCTGTTGGCGGGGACATGGTGTGGTCGTTTCGCCCCGGCGCTGAGGGTCAGACGCCGCCGAGGACTGAATTGGGGCGCTGAGGGCTTCATCTGTTAAGATCTCTTACTTCCGGCAGTGCCCAAGTACCATGGCACGCATCTGCGCGTTTGGACTGCCAGCCATCTATTCGGCTCAAGTGACAGTGAAGGAGGTGGTTCACCTTCCAATCCTCCCGAGATTGAACCTCCATAAGCAAAGGACCTACTTGGTGCTTGAACTCGACGACTACCCCATCGTACAGCTGAGAACGTGCATGTGGCACGGATCCTCTCTCACAAGGGTATGATGAGGAAGGCCCTTCTTATTGCTTTCACCTGCCTTTCAACACACAGCCTCAGCTTGGTGAAACCTGGACATAGTCCAGAAGTCGCCTTGACACGGGAAGTTCAGCAAGTCAAGGCGAGTGCTTCAAGCGAAGAAGATTCCGATGCACAAGAACATGGCATTTTGTGGGTGAAGAACACGGGCAAGTTTTGCTTAGGCATCTTGCTCACTTTGGTTGCAGTGACCGCTTCGTGGTACTTCGAGCGGCAGCTTGCGCGGTTGGAGTGCTTGATGTCCATTGGCCGTAGCATGTGCAGAAGTGTTCAGGATGGGAAAGCAGTGCCAGAAAATTCTGGTTGCCTCGTGCATTTGTCTGGCGAGCTAAAGCCAGAGATACCGATTCAAGATCCACGCTTTGCGTGTCAAAAGCTTAGTACCGGCTGCGGCCGTCTTCGAACGCAGGTGCAGGTCTACCAATGGGTTGACGGTCGAAACTCTCAGTTGCAGCAACAGTGGTCAGAGGATGCACAGAGTTTTTCCCTCTCACGGCGAGACCCCTCGAAGAAGACACCGCCGCTGGCCCTGGCAATAGGGACAACCATTACCAATTCCACGTCGGTCAAGTTCGGTCTGGGATTCGTCTTACCTCGCGGCCTGCTAGACCAATGCTCCTCATTCAAGTCTGCTTCGCCGCTGTTGGGGTCTGAAGTTTTCACACACAGCGGCAAGATGAGATTTCTCCTTCATTCCGATGGGCGCTACTACTGGCGGGCAGGTGGTGACTTTGCAGCAGAGAAAATAGCATCAGAACCTATGCTGGGTGACGTGCGTGTCACCTTTGAGATGGCTGCCTCCGGTCGGGCAACCGTGCTGGCATTGCAAGCAGCAGATGATGCTGGTGATGGTTCTGCCACCCTCCTTCCGTACAGGCTCGTGCCGCAGGTCTATGAAGAAGGCGAGCACAAGAGGCTGGTTGTGCAGGAAGCTCGGAAGTCGCGAGTCGGATTAGCCCAGGAGGACCAGGTGTGTCCCCAAAGCCGTCTGTGCTTTAGCTGCAACTTTGTGGCTGGCTGCTGTACGGGAGTTGCCACCCCAGAGATCTTCCGCCTCTATGAAGGACACCAAACTTTGGATTCATGTTTCTCAAAACTGCGGAAGTCTTCCAGCGTTGATGTGGGCCTGGGCTCCTGGTCATTCCGACTTGTGGTGCTCTCTGTGATGACCGCCGGCATCTACATCTCCTTCTCCGAGGCTTTAATGCACATGCTCCCCATCTCGCGAAGCATGACGGACACTCCCGGGACTGTCCCGAGGTTTGTTGTCAGCGCTTGCATGTCGTTGGCAATCACCAGTGCCATCATCAGCACCGTCTTCTTCCCCTACAAAGTGGGAAAGGCCTTCGTTCACCTGGCGGCAGCAGCTTTCTTCTTGGTGCTTCCCCTGATCCTTATGTCTTGATACGCACAACCCCGAAGCCGTCGGGGCAATGGAAAAGTTGCTCTTTTACGTTGATGCACGCAGCTTCTTTTGAGGAAATGACTGTAGCCATGAGCTGATGACTGCATGCTTCTCGGTGTCCGGCTCGTCGCTATTCGCTAGCCAACAGCCCATGAACCCACAACTAAAGTAATGCTGATTAAAGATCGCTAAACCAGTATTCCATATACTTGACATTGCTTGACAGTACTTTGCAGAGCATTCCCCCCAATCCTGCAGGCCAGGGAGTGCTAGGTCTTTGGCCCTTTGGTAATGCTGCTTGTCGATGTGGGCTGCTGTGTACTTGCTGCCCTGAACTTCTCCTCGCTCGCCGTTTTTGTGGAGTTGCTCCGGCTCTGGCCGATTTTGGCCAGATTGGATGCTCAGAACCTTGAAGGCAAAGGCAGGGAACCAGCTGTACTCAGAATGCTCACCTGAGGGTTGGAGGGGTGGGACTGCAACGAGAGAATGCAGACTCGTCACGACTGAGGAATGCTCCAAAGAGTCCTTGGAGGTAGACTTCCGTAATCTGGCAGGAATTAACACGTGCAGCACATGCTCCACAGTACCGCACCGGTACGATTGCACAGGCTTGGACAATGCATGTGCCCATTGTCGATGTCGGTTCGTGCAAACGCGCTTGCTCTCTCCTGTGGCACCCCAAGGCATTATTTTACAATCATCCTTGGAGCGAACGCCTCCTGGTGGCAAGTGAGCCCGGAAAACTGGCTGGCTCGACCTATGGGCATGCGAGGCTTGGAGCTGCGACGATGCGGGAGCGACCACGGTGCTTGCGCAGGTGAAACTTGGCGAGGAGCGGCGTTTCAGGGCCAACTTGGCCCTCAGTCAGCCTTGCCCAAGCCTGGCAGGTCGACCCCCTAGCCGTTTGCAACGATGGCAGCGAGGCCGCCTACTACTTGGAGGACACTCGGCATGCCAGCGGGGCAAGCTTGTCGCATAGGGCATATGGTTGGCAGATGAGGCGAAAGCCTCAAGCAGAGACTGGCTCGTCTATTTGGCTGGCGGTGGCTGGTGCCACGACCATGAAAGCTGCGCGGCTCGCGAGGCTCGAGGGTTGAGCAAACATCATGAGATGGCCTTGGTCGGCCATGGGGTGCTTTGAATTCAAGACAAAGGCCTAAGAATTCATCCCCAATTCCGTTGCTGGGAGAGTGGGCCTGCGAGGGCCGCAGGGGCAGCAGGGATCGGGAAAGAGCAGTCTCCAACAGGGAGATGGATTGTCCTTTAGGGGCTGTTGCCTCAGGCAGGGACTGCCTTCCCTCACCAGAGCTGCAATACCTCCACGCTGAGCTCCCCGTGCTTCATGTCGAACAAGGACCTGGCTTTGTCACGTCAGTATCGATAATGAGACTTCTGAAGCTGGGTGCAGCTTCGCAAGGACTTCCCGGAGACTTGTGGGAAGCAGCTTTGTCCAAATAGCATTCCGAGCAATTTCTGAGCAAACGTCTGGGTGCAAGCATTGCGTCATTTCGTGTTTTGATGTTTGCCTGGCTCACAGAATGGCCACCAGCCCACCAGAGTCTTGAGTCATGGAAAAGGCGGCTTTGCCAGCTGAGTCATGGGTCACGGCCCCCCGTGCGATCTGCCGCCTTCACCCTTCCTTCGTTCATTATTGAGGCCAAACTTGCGAGCAGCACAGGTACAGGCGAAGGCCAAAGCCAAAGCAAAGGGCGGAGGCAAAGGCAAGAGTGGCAAGGGCAAGTGCGTTCAGGAGGAGAGTTTCACAGACTTTCATGTGGATGATTGGCGACACCTGCCTTCAGATCCTGCAGAGGCTGTCGGTGCGCCGAAGGGGATACAGGGGCATTGTGTTGTGAGCCATGATGCCCGGCTCTGGTGCATCGGCGGTGCTCGGCCGGATGCTTCGAGCCCTCAGATTTCTCTCCTGCTTTTCGATCTGCACAGGCGCTGCTGGAGTGACATGACTCCTAAGCCAGCGGAGTGTGCCCCAAGCTGGAGATGGGGCCATTCCTCCGTCGTTGTGCCTGCGCAATATCCCCCACGGCCTGGCACGAGAGAGAACTTGCTGTTACTTTGTGGGGGCTTTGATAAAGAAACAAACATGAACGATGTGTGGTATTTCTGCCCCCAAAGCGGCCAGTTCTTCCAACCCCGCGTGGGCATGGACTATGTTCCTGTACTCGGTGCATACCACTCCTTAGCGTACGACATCGCCACAGACGAGGCGTATCTTTTTGGAGGCCAGAAGTGCGTCCAAGGAAAGTACGAGTTTTACGATACCCTTCTCAAGTGCGGGCTGAACTGTGGGTCTTGGCTCATTGTGTACACCCGCGGCGCCCGGCCACCTGAACGCGGACAGCATTCCTGTGCCATCTCCAACCGCGTGCTAGTGCTTCATGGGGGCAGCAATCGATACAAATTGTTGCGAGATGTTTGGACTTTGAAGCTGGACGCGAGCACACCTCATTGGTCCGAGGTGAAGATCCACGGCCCCTCCTTGTGGGTTGGGAAGAAACAGAAGGCAGTGCCCTACCAGATCGCACCTTGCCGGCCCTTCCTGGCGGCTTCAGGCGATGGGATTTTGGTCCTCGGCCGAGGGAAGCCTTCGAAGGACTCCTTGGTTCTTTGTAGGGGATCCCCCATGATCGTTTCCTCCCCCTATCGTAGCATGCTAGTCCCCAGAACCCGTTCCCCCGCTCTCTGCAGGAGGACCATCCCGGCGACCTCTCCTTGTGGGCCCTGAGCCTGCAGAGGCGACGCTGGCGACGGGTCCCTGTAGAGACGCCACCGGCTTGGGCTGGCAACTTCGCGGCTTCCTTCCACGAAGGCTGGGGGTTGAACAGTGTCAGAAACAGCCTTAGCAACGATAGCCGGTCGTGTGTTTGTGTTTTCAAACCTTCACATTAGACATTTGAAGAACCGCAGGCGGTGTGGGGAATGTCCTCTTGGTTTTTGGCGGCGAGCGCATGGGATCTTCAGCTGTTGCTGGCGCTGGCACCCCGCTGTACGAGGGCGGTTTGTGGTCGATCGACTTGGCGGCGCGGCCTTCCAAGCTCTTGCTACTCACTCTACAGAAACTCCTTCGCAGCGGCTCTGTCCGGTTTTCTGAGGACGTGCTGAGGACCATCTTCGGCTTTTCTATGGGGCGGCTAATGGACATGATCGCACACATGTGATCTAGTGGGGCCAACTTGGGACCTATGGGGACCTGTGCAGCCGGTCCTTGGTGTTTCTGTGGGGACTTGTCGAGCCAAAACGGCTTCTTGCAGCAAAAAGCAAAACTGCAGGGCGCCAGACTGCACCGCGAGGATCATGGTGTGCCACGGATACTATGCAAAGTTCCTGGAGCTCCCAAAAGCCAAGGACGGGCATATTTGATCGCAGCGGCTCGCCACTGCAGCAGGCTAGCAAGGTTTATGTGACCCGGCGGCATGCGTGACACTTGTTGCGTTCTGCCTCCTGCAGTTTCGCTTTTGGACCTCTCAGTTTCCACAAGGTTCCGTACTGCACGTCGGACGCATACATGGGACGCCTGGCTCGATGGCTTAGGAGTGCAGGCTATCTAACCTGAAACTCATGTTTACTTCGCGCATTCGTCGCATCCTAGCTTGCAGCGGCACTTCGAAGGTGATGGAGCTTTTGGCCCCTGGCAATTTCGCGGTGCACGTGTTGTTCGTGCTGTTCTGAAGGATCGCCTGTGAGCAGCAAACTGCATCCCCGGCAAGTCTGGCACTGCCGGAGGACCTTCGCACAAGAGGTCTGCGTCCAGGCAGCAGGCACGGAGTTTTCTTGAGTAGTCTTCCATGGTCCTTGCATCTGACTGCACCATGTCATGGAAAGGTTGATCTTCGGAGGCGGATCAGCGGGCTCCAGAGGTGCGATGGTGCTTCTAGATGAAGTCACGAAGATGCTTCCTGGGATTCAAGTACATGGATTTCTGGATTCCCCGTACTGGATAGATGCTTCGCTGATTTAAATCGGTCGACCCCCCCCACACACAGACACACAGACAGACGCCCACAACACACAGAGAGCCAGGAATGCTAGCTTTGCTTGCACATGGGTGGGCCGGCCAAGGACATCCCATCGTCTGCTGCCAATTTTTCAGGATTTCAACATCAGACACGTGATGTGCTGTCCAATTTCAATGCATGGTCAGTGGTCTCGCAGCCATGCTATGCCCAGCGGCTTGGCTCGTTCAGCAATTCATCGTGGGTTCTGTATTCAGTTTCCGATCGTGGGGGCGTGACCCAGGTACAGGTCAGAAGAGGCGTGGAAGTGCCTGTTCGGGCAATACCGCATGGCCTTCCTGAGGACATCCTCCGTCTTGTCTGTTGCGTGCGCCCTGCTAAAAGTTGCCCCTCTTCCCTGCCTTTTGTGACAGGGCCCCGTACTTGTTGATCGCCTCCCAGTTTGATTCGTGGCAGCTCTCGCATCTCGTTCACGGCTACAGCGGAATCCAAGATCAGCCTGCGTTCACGCCGACCGAAGTTGCCTACACGGAGAAGTTTGGCGCTCAGACTCGATCTGGACTTGACGAGCTGGCAAAAGTAGTGCCAAGTGGCTCCTATATATATTCCGCCGCATGTTACAACCACCACATCTCCGAGAAAGGGATCTTCTTTACCTCTGCGACGAGCTCGGGCTTCACTGAGTCCGAAGCCCTCGAAGCTATTTGGAGAGGCCATGGCGATGCCATCGACCGCTGTGACGGATTCAACTGTAGCATCGGATGTGGCCCGGGCAGTGCCATAATTATCTAGCCGGCGAAAGCTGAGTTAGACATCTTGTACATAGGCATCCTTCGTAGCATGATTCAGACTACAGCCAGCGCCTAGAAGGCCATTGCGAAAAGGGGATCCGGGATACAGTGAAAGGCACTCCAAACCCTGAGCTCTAAAGCACTCAACAGTACTCCCGGCGGTGCGACTTGTCAGCTGGGGGGGTGGGAAAAAAAAGCGGTGAAACCCTACACTGTGCCTGGCAAGAGATGCCTTTGGAGGAGCGGCTGGAAAGTGCCTTTCGAGGGCCAGGTCTTGCTCTTGGTCGATTTGTTGCTTGTTTCTCTCAGACTAACTAACTATACCTAGTACTAGTCGATAATAGTCACAATAACAGCAATAAGAACTGTAAGTACTAGCAAGTCACAGTAGTACATAGGAGCATCATGAACAAGAATAGCAACAATGACAATTACAGGGAAGGCTGACCAGCAGATGGCCTTGAAACTGTTTATCGAACGCAACCGATGCAGAAGAAAGTAAATGGATCCTAGACTTGGGTGGTAACAGTACTTATGTGAACCGAGCAACACAAATGAGGTTGCACTCCGGAAAGAGAATGAAGAGATGAATAAGTACACGCCCCGCAGCAACGAAATCAACTTGTTTTCGGAATTGGTTCAAGAAAGCTTATCAAACTAACCGGCCATGTTGTGAGAACTGGTGAGGGGGACCCCTAAGTCAAGCCAGCTGCATGCCCCAACTCCGCAAGCACATTGAGATTGGCAAAGGAAGGGTCGGAGGACAGGAACAAGTACAGTTGGGAACATAGAGTTTGCAATCCTCCGGCTCAATATGCATGTTCTGGTGTGCCAAACCAAACTTCTCGAGCAAGCAAGAAACCGCCACTATTCAGCCGCTCCGTGTGCCCAAGGTCTTACTTTTCTGTTTAAGTAGGCACAGGACCTTGGACGAGAAGAAAAACAATCATGCTAGTAGAATGATCTGACCCTGCATCGTAGGTTTCGCCCTAGGCAGGTGGGAGGCAAAACAATATTTAGAATGATTCGAATAAAAGCTGTAGTCATACGGGAACAGCACAACAACAGCAATATGATCGAAAGTTGAGTTCGTATCAACATGACAGTCACAGCAACAACAGAACTGCCAGAGAGAGGAATAATTGCACGGATTCTAGCAACAACAACCCGAAGCGCGACAGTACCAGTAAGTGTAAGAACAGCAATAAGTAAAACCCTGACACTGGTTCATATCAGCACTAGTCAGTGTCCTAGTGGTCAGAACGTAACACTACGAGGATGACGAGGAGGAGAACGACGACTTCTACGACGACGACGTGGTAGTAGTAGTAGTAGTAGTAGTAGTCGTCGTCGTCGTCGTCGTCGTCGTCGTAGACTTCTGCTTCTACTTCTTCTTCTTCTTCTTCTACTGCTGCTACTACTACTACTACTACTACTACCCTACTACTACTACTACTACTACTACTACTACTACTCCTGCTGCTGCTGCTGCTGCTGCTGCTGCTGCTGCTGCGGCTGCTGCTACTGCAAACGCTGCTGCTACTGCGGCTGCTGTTGCTGCTGCCGCTGCTGCTGCAGCTGCTTCTACGGCTGCGGCTGTGGCGATGGCGACGGCGACGGCTCTGCTGCTGCTGCTGCTGCAGCTGCTACTGCTACTACTGCTGCTGCCACGGCCACGCTACACTGCCACTGCTGTTGCTACTGCTGCGACTACTATTGCCGCGGCTACAAGACTGCGACCACGACGACAACGACGACTACTGCTACGCCTCCCTTTGCTGCTATTGCTGCTACGAACACCCTGATAATAGCAGCAATGATGTGAATATTAGTGGCAAGCATATAAATGTATGACCACAGTAATATTCGTAAGAAGAACTCTTTGATGCGAGGTTTCATGTTAACATTCGTAGTAGTCGAAGCAGTCATGATGACGAAATATAAGGCGCATATGTGATAACAGTAATATTGAGACTGGTAATCGTAGTACTACGAATAGAAATCTTGATAGAATCGGAATGGGAATATGAATAGGCATTCGTAAAAATCACGATAACAGCGGTAAGAGTAGGAAAAGCCATAATCATATCAAGAATACTTCAAAGCATAGTGATAGCAGCAACCATTATCTCATCATCGTCCGTCGACCTCGTTCAGGTGGATCCGACCTTGGCGGTGAACGCGCTGCAGCCCCGAAATGGCCAGGCTCCTCCTGCGCCGAGATCCCAGTGTGGTTGCAGCCGCATGGGGTTGAGGAAATCGGGTTCATGATTTAGGGAGCGATTCTGCAAATTGGGGGTTCCATTTTGAGGATGTTTTTAGCTCAAGATCCTACTGCCATATGTTTTAGCATGTTTCAGTGCCCTTGTTTTCTGAAACTCCCACTGCTGCAGATGACTCGGCGGCCTCGACCCGGCACTTTTGACCAGCTCAGTGCTAGCTCTGATATGACTCAAAGGACTGCATAAGTGAGTCAGGGACATCGTCAGAGATGGGTGGACCGCGCGCTTAGCCAGCACTGAAGCAAGGAGCCCCTAGTCATTGTTTGTAATCGCGCCCGCATGGGCTGATGCAAGCGTAGCCCCCGCCACTGCCTGAATGGAGAGAGCCTCCGGAGGCGTGTGCTTTTTTGCCTCTAGGGCGGTCATGCTGAGCAATGCCACTTCTGTTCAACAGCCGGCAGGTCATGTCTGGCTACGCGGCAACGTCCTCGCTCACACGGATTTCTGCGACAAAGCAGAGTTTTTTGGCAGCAGCGGCGTCAAGGCCAGAGCCGGTTCCTCGTGTGGAGGTAACCGGGTGGGCCTCTGAGGCACCATCGCCAAGCTCATTGACCGCTTCTGGGATGGGAAGCCGCTCAGCCGCAGCAAGAGCCCTTGATGGGAGCTGTGCAAACGTCGGACCTCAGGCTGGCTGCAGACGACATGGATGCCAGGCTGCCCGAGGGCTTGCAACTCAGTCTCGGAAAGCCATAAACACACTGAGAGCCATGCCCTGCCTCTCTGTGCTATTCTGTGCTGCAAGGACTTTGGGACTGCATTCGCGAGTTTGAAGACAAGGAGGAGATGCAAAGAGCAGCAAAACGCTTCACGAACAAGGCTTGTGTCAGCTTGCAGGACTTGACTTGGGGTAGGCAAGGCTGTGATTTCAGAGCTTGCTGGGATGGGAATGCAAAGTCTAATGTGGTGCTCTTCGAGATGTTTGTCGAATTTCTGCAGGTCCGGCAAGGCTTCCGCGAGGAAAAGCGACAGGGACGACAGTTGCAGAAGAAGTCGCGAGAACAGGCGCCTTGACACCCCCTGTCCCTGACATGCTCGGCTTTCGGCTTCGTTCGAGCTCTGCAGGTTCTGCTGCAGAAGTACGCTCTCTTGGCCTTGCCCGTCCCAGAGGTGGAAGCCTTGGAGGTCGACTGGCTCTCTGCGCCACGCGCTGTGGTGCCCGAGCTGAACTGCCTGCCGGCACGGCGGTACTTTGCCCTTCGCCAGAGTTCCTTGCTGGGCCGCGAGCTTCGGAAGCTCCGGGAGAAGAGGCAGCAAATCGCTTACCTGGCGAAGCAGGTGCTGGAGCGGCTCCGGCTTGCGAAGCGCCCGATTCGCCGCATTGTCGACTTCGGCGGAGGCCGGGGAGACTTCGCATTGGCCCTGGCCTGGCTGCTGGGACGAAGCGAGCGAAGCGAGCTGGCAACTCCGGAGATCGTGGTGTTGGAGCTGGAGGCCGCATACTGCGAGCAAGGCCGCAAGCGTAGTGCAGCCTTAACCAAGTCTTGCCCGGAAGCTGCTCGTGTCAACTTCGTCTGCCAAGACCTTCGGCACTTTCAGGAACCCTTCGAACTGGCTGTCGGGCTGCATGCTTGCGGACCTCTCGTAGATGCGGTGTTGCTTCACTGCTTCGCTTCGAGGGCAGAGTTCGTGCTATTGACCTGCTGCTTCGGGAAGATTCCCAAGCGCTGCGATGATTTCGAGCTGAGCTACCCTCGAGCTAGCAGTGCCTTGATTCGTGGACGCGAGGACTTTTTCGAGCTCTGCAAGCTAGCCGATGCCCCGGTCGAGAAAGAGTCGGCTCAGGCAATGCGCCTGCTCAACTCCGATAGATGCTGCTGGGTGCGGCAGCGGGGTGGCTGGGCCCATTTGTGCTGCATCCCACGAAGCGTCACCAACAAGAACGTTTTGGTCGTTGGAGCTGCTGATGCCTTGGAGGCCAGTGTTCTGGATGTCACTGCGCGTGCCGTCGGAACGGCGTGGGAGGGCCTCAAGGGCCTGGCACCTGCTTCGATCTCTGAACAGCCTCCTGGGACCCTGCGCATCGTCATGGTGGCAGACACGCATTGCCGGCATCGACAGCTTTCCATGCCTCCCGGAGACCTTCTGCTGGTCTGCGGAGACTTCACGAAAAGCGGGCTGCGGGAGGAAGTTGAAGACTTCGCTGCCTGGTTGGACTCGCTTCCGTACACGGCGAAGGTGGTGGTGGCCGGAAATCACGAGATCACCTTTGATCACGGTTACTACAACTCGAAGGGCCACGTCTACCACAAAGACTCGGTGGAACCCATCAACCCTGTCCAGATCAAAGAAATCATAGCAGGGCGTCCAGGACTCTTGATGGAAGCGTGAAGGTGTTCTGCATTCTGCACGCGAGATGCCGCTTAGCATCTTCCTGCAGCTCCTAAGGATTGCACTACTTGGAGGATGAGCTCCTGGAGCTACAGACCCGCGGCAGCAGACCCGGGAGTCTCGAAGCTGTCTGGAGTTGGCGGCGGTTGCAGCCGAGGATCGGTGAGGAGTTCGCTCCCATCCGGATCTTTGGGAGCCCAAGCCAAGGCAGGGCCGGAGAGGAGCCGAGGCGGTGCGGCGAAAACTGAGAGCGAAAGACAGGCCCTTTCTTCTCCGATCATTCGATGGCTGCCTTTGGGCGAAGCTTCGAGCAGGAGGCTGGGCTTCGCCATGCCGGCTATGCTCAGAATCTTTTCAGACAACTTTCGGGGCCAGGAAAAAGCACAGGCGGCCGTGGAGGCCGATGACGTTTCAGCAGGCTCAAAAGAGCATTTCCGTGTGCATGGTTTGTGGAGGCCGGCGCAGGATGGCCGACGGCAGGCCATGCAAGGGAGTTGGCGTCTCCTCTCGCCCGCCATGTTTCATAGTTCGTCTGAAGAGGAGATTGCTGCAAGAACACCCCGGTCGAGAGCATCGACATTCTGGTGACACATGGGCCAGCTACTTGCCAGCAGCGTCCTGAGGTTTGCACACAGCCTCTCTGCATCCGAGGCTTATGGCATATGTGACCTGAGCAGCGAACATGAGCGACAGGGCTGCAGGCAGCGAAACTTACTTGAGCAGCTAACTCGGACCCAAGGCAAGATGGGAGGGCGGCTTTTGCTGGAAGTAAGGCACTTCTGAAGGCAGGCATCAGCGACAATGTCTCGCACACTCACTCTTTGAACTGCTGTTTTTTTGCCGTGGCTGGAGACTCTTCCAGGCAGTTCTGAAGCAGAAGCCAGTCTTGCACGCCTTCGGCCACATTCATGAAGGCTATGGCGTACGTGCAAATGCTTCAACTTACTTCGTCAATTCCGTGCCTCAGCATCAAAAACCGAACGACATGTTGGGTAGCAGATTGTGGCCGAAACCACATATTTTTTGGGAAGCCCTGCGCGCTTTCTGCGTGCGTGCTTTGGGCCGAAGCCACTTACTGTCACTTACTGGTACCACATGGCCCGGCATCTCTCGGAATTCGGCTGCGCTTTCAGATGACCGTTTCAAGCACGCTCAAGGCGATCTGCAGCGAGCGCTACATTCCGCAGCGCCTGCCCATAGTTTGCGATCTTCTTCGTGCTGGACCACAGGAGGCTCGTGGCCTGCGCTTCGACGGTGGCAGGCCCGAGATGACTCCTACGTTTCGACTCGACGTCTCCAAACCTCATCCGGGGGTGCAGAATGTAGAGCGTGTGAGATTTTTGTCCTGGCCCCGAGATTCTACTATGCACGCCCAGCGAGCAACTCCAGCTATGGTGAGTCGGGCCGGCCTCACAAAGGGCAGCTTGGCAGACTTATGTAGCTTGGGCTTTCGTGATGTGGGGCTTGAAAAGCCTAGTTGCAGGCCTATCTTGCACTCTGCTTGCGTTTCAACTCGAGGCAAGAAGAAGAAGGCGAGGCACGTGGCAGTTCAGGAGTCTCTTCGTGCCTCGACTGGGCAGTTCCACTCGGCAGTACGACGGTATCGCTGCTCGTGCCCTAGCATCCAGGCTCTATGTGCGTCTGATGCACGAGCTGCATGATGGACGACCAGAGTTGCACACGGCCACACACAGCTCTGGCTATCGGAACAAAGCCTCATTCTCGCTGGGAAAGCAGTTCGTTGGCGAGCAGGAGAGGGGAGCCCAAAACGCATGCGCCCAGCTGGTCACAGAATCTGAAGGAGAGCTGCGCCGGAGAGCTGAACGAGCTGGCGGTGAAGCTGCAGGAGCTTCGCGATAGCTTGCGATTTGGGTCGAAGAGCGGCAACGAAGAGTCCATGAAGTGCTTTTTTGAGATTTAGCGAGGAGCTCGCGCAGAAGGAATCCGACTCCGAGTTCTTCGTGGAGGCGGCTTTGAAGCTGACCCGAAGCGGCCGGCTCGGCGTGAAGCGACTCGGAGCGAAAGCCCCCCTGCGCCAGTGCCTCGTCTCGATTCGTGGCACCAAGGCTGGTCCTCCGTGGTGAGGAAGCTGTGGACAGCTGGCTGAAGAGCCAGAGTGCCAGATTTATTGCGGATCTCCGGGCTATGGTGCCAGCAGTGCAATCTGTGACGTACCAGGCAGGCTGGCTTTGCAAAGCCGTCTCCCTTTGCCACCTGCACCACTCGCCTGCCAGGTGGCCCCAGCTGGTTCAGACGAGAAGCCGCCGAAAAGCCCTTGGCATCCTCGATACCCGATGTTCAAGGCAGGGTGACACGGCTTGCCGAAGATTTGTGCGAAGCGAAGAGAAATGTGCAAGCACTCAAACAGGCTCTCTATGGAGATCCCTTCGTGCCTGGGCCGCATACGGCTGTCGTGGCCGTCGATTGGTGATTGCTGCTCTTACGTGCACTCTTTCTGCGGCATTTCTGGAGTCTCAGGTGATCGAGGATGCGCCGGTGGGCTCTCCTGGGCATCATCTCCCTTACCGGCTCTCTCCCGATTCCTTCTCAGAGGTGAACGGCAAGGCAGAAGAAGCCATGATCCAGGTGCTTTGTGGCTGGGTGGA